CAAAGTGGCAGGATACAAGATTAACTCAAAAAAATCCGTAGCCCTACTATATACCGATGACACATTGGTGGAGAAAGAAATCAGAGAACCATCACCCTTTACAATTACCACAAACAACATAAAATACCTTGGGATAACACTAACCAAAAATGTGAAAGACCTGTATCATAAGAATTTTGAGTCTCTAAAGAAAGAAATTAAAGAAGATACCAGAAAATGGAAGATCTCCCATGCTCTTGGATAGGTAGGATCAACATAGTAAAAAATGGCAATCTTGCCAAAAGCAATCTACAGATTCAATGCAATCCCCATCAAAATCCCAACACAATTCTACACAGACCTTGAAAGAACAATTCTCAACTTTATATGGAGAAACAAAAGACCCAGGATAGCCAAAACAACTCTGTACAATAGAGAAACTTCAGGAGGCATCACCATCCCTGACTTCCAAGCTCTATTATAGAGCTATAGTCTTGAAAACAGCTTGGTATTGGCACAAAAAATGGATACTGGCATGTAGAAGACTGCAGATAGTTCCATGTCTATTGCCATGAACAAAACTTAGGTACAAATGGATGAAAGACCTCAACATAAATCCAGCCACACTGAACCTCTTAGAAGAGAAAGTGGAAAGTGCCCTTGAACGAATTGGTACAGGAGACAGCTTCCTGAATGTTACACCTGTAGCACAGACATGAAGACTGACAATTAATAAATGGGACCTCCTGAAATAGACACTTTTTTAAGAAGGACTCTAAGAGAAAAATGCATGGACCCCAGAGAACGGGAAGGGGCAAGAACTCCTGAGGTAATTGGGAGCATGGGGGTAGGGGAGAGGGAGCTGCCAGAATGGGGGGGGAAGGAGGGGAGAGGAGAAGAGGAAATGGGAGAACAGGAAGGTTGAGTAGGGGGAAAAATAGAGACGAGCAGGATGGAAGATACCATAATAGAGAGAGCCATTATAATTTCAAGGAGAGATCTGGCACTAGGCAGATTTCCAGAGATCTATAAGGTTGATACAACCTGGCATTCTAATGGAGAGGCTACCCTAAATACCCTTCCCCTATAATGAGACTGATGACTACCTTATATGCCATCCTAGAGCCTTTATCCTGTGGCTGATGGAAGCAGAAGGAGACACACACAGCTAAACACTGGGAGGCCAGCATGGGACTGATCCAGACCCCTGGTAGTAGATGTCAGTGAGGAGGCCTGGGTACCCTATGTGGCCTCTCGTAGTAGATCAGTATATATCCCTGGAATAAGAAAGGTCTTTGGGAGCCCATCCTACATGGAGTGATGCTCTCTCAGCCTGGACACATGGGGGAGGGCCTAGGTCCTGCCCAGGATGATATGGCAGACTTTGGGAATCCCCCATGTAGGGCCTTACCCTCCTGGGAAGCAGAGTAGGAAAGGGGTAGAGGACTGTTGGGGGATGGGGGAGGAGGGGAGGGAGAGGGATCAGGGATTGACACATGAAGCAGACTTGTTTCTAATTTGAACTAATAAAATAATTTAAAAAGAAATAAGAATAACAACATAATAAATATGTTAAAATGGTAAAATGTATGCTAGAGAAATTTAATTGATATAGTTGATTTTTAAAGAAAATATGGATAAGATAAGTCAGTGTAGTTAAAATAGAAAATGTAAAAAATCGGTTTTCTTTGCATAGAGATATAATAAAGAATTTTCTTTTTTATTTTGTTATTGCTCATCTGCATTTAATTGTTTTTATTAATACATATTAACAGTTGATTAAATATTCCAAACAGGCACGCTCTTAGTTTTTTGCCAGATTCTGACCATAAGATTTTCTTCAAATGATCACAATATGAGTTTGATTTATGTGTGATTTTTTGTAAACAACCTTATTTAATAAACATTTGTTAATATTGAACTTAAAGGGTAATACTATCATATCTGAAGTAAGTTTCTTCAGCATCTTTTTTTGGTGTTGGAGAGATGGCTCAGTGGTTCAGAGTACTTGCTGATCTTGCAGGGGATCATGGTTCAGTCCCAAGCACTCACATTGGATGACTTACAACCAGTGTCCCTCCATTTCTAGGAAATCCAACTCCTTTGCCTTGTGGCCTCTGAGGGCACTTTAACAGACGTGTGCATATGCATACAAGTAAAATCTTTAAGAATAATTCTCAGAATTTCTCATTAAAGTACATAATATCATTTTATATTTATGAACTCTGTGAAGTGCTTCATGAAATGCTTGGAGACATTTTAAATATCAAAATCAGTTCCGCGCTGCCCCGGGACGGGTCAATACAGTGTTGTTCTTGATTCCCGTCGTAACTTAAAAGGGAAACTTACACAATGTCCGGAGCCCTCGATGTCCTGCAGATGAAGGAGGAGGATGTCCTCAGGCTCCTTGCAGCAGGAACCCACTTAGGTGGCACCAACCTTGACTTCCAGATGGAGCAGTACATCTACAAGAGGAAAAGGGATGGAATCTACATCATCAATCTGAAGAGGACGTGGGAGAAGCTGTTGCTGGCAACCCGGGCCATCGTTGCCATTGAGAACCCCGCTGAAGTCAGCGTCATCTCCTCCAAGAACACTGGGCAGCGAGCTGTGCTGAAGTTTGCTGCTGCCACCGGAGCCACTCCAATTGCTGGCCGTTTCACTCCTGGGACCTTCACCAACCAGATCCAAGCAGCCTTCGGGGAGCCACGGCTTCTAGTGGTCACTGACCCCAGAGCTGACCACCAGCCCCTCGCAGAGGCGTCTTATGTCAACCTGCCCACCATTGCTCTGTGTAACACAGACTCTCCTCTCCGCTACGTGGACATTGCCATTCCATGCAACAACAAGGGAGCTCACTCAGTGGGTCTGACGTGGTGGATGCTGGCCCGGGAAGTACTCCGCATGTGTGGCACTATCTCCCGTGAGCACCCATGGGAGGTAATGCCTGACCTTTACTTCTACAGAGACCCCGAGGAGATTGAGAAGGAGGAGCAGGCTGCTGCCGAGAAGGCTGTGACCAAGGAGGAATTTCAGGGTGAATGGACGGCGCCAGCGCCAGTGAACTGTCACCCTTATTACAGTTTGTCATGTTGTGGTGACCTCCAATCATAAAATTATTTTCATTGCTACTTCATGGCTGTAATTTTGCTATGAGTTATGTTATGTAAATATTTTTAAGATAGAGGTTTGACAAAGGGGTTTCAACACACAGGTTGAGAACGCCTCTGCGAGGGGCTGGTGGTCAGCTCTGGGGTCAGTGACCACTAGAAGCCGTGGCTCCCCGAAGGCTGCTTGGATCTGGTTGGTGAAGGTCCCAAGAGTGAAACGGCCAGCAATTGGAGTGGCTCCGGTGGCAGCAGCAAACTTCAGCACAGCTCGCTGCCCAGTGTTCACTGCGGCTCAGCCAGAGGTGGCCGACTGGTCTGAGGGTGTGCAGGTGCCCTCTGTACCCATACAGCAGTTTCCTACTGAAGACTGGAGTGCTCAGCCAGCCACTGAGGACTGGTCAGCAGCTCCCACAGCGCAGGTCACCGAGTGGGTTGAAGCCACCAGTGAGTGGTCCTGAACTGCTCTGCAGACACCTGAGCAAAGGGAAAAAAGGTGGAAGGAAAATAACGTTCCTACAAGCAACAAACAAAATCAAACAACAAAAGCAAAAAATGCACTTCACCCACTTAACAGACACCCCCAAGTAATCAAGTTCACTTTGAAAAAGTATTATTGGCTTCTTTTATTTTGGGGGATTAAATATAATTACATTATTTTCCCCTTACTTTTCTTCCCCTTTGAAGCCTCCCACAGATAAGTGTAGCTGTTACCACTTCTTAAGGAATCTTCTCTATGCAACAGACAGAGAGAGACCATTATAGAAAAGCACAAGCAATCAAAATACAGAGTTGTGGAGCCCAGTCCAAACTGATACATCTACAACACAACTCCTGTACTTGTTTACTTTTGAAGAAGCTAAAACAAAGCAGACTATCGCCTTGTCTGACTTCAGCTGGGAATGTGAGCATGAAACATTTCAAATGTTTTGCTGATATGAGTATGTCCACAAATGTTCTCGTAAGTATCTTAATTATTGATGTTTGAGTTGCAAGTACACAATTGCAATTGTGAAATCTATAAATAATTAGGATAGAATGTACTATGACAATTCCATGACACATGTTGGTCTTCAGATTCTTTAGGGCCTTGTCAATTAGCAAATTATAATTGAGGGAGTTTCCCCATTCATCTTACTTTTCCTGGGAATCCTAAGGAACATTGCTGTCTGTATTGTTATAATGCCTTTGTTTTCAAGAGCTCATTATTTACACATCCTTCACTGTATGCAAAAGATTGGAGAATAGAGTGTTGACAATGCTCTGACTGGCACTTGGACCAGTGGTTCTCAACCTGTGTGTTGAAACCCCTTTGTCAAACCTCTATCTTAAAAATATTTACATAACATAACTCATAGTAAAATTACAGCCATGAAGTAGCAATGAAAATAATTTTATGATTGGAGGTCACCACAACATGACAAACTGTATTAAAGGGTGACAGTGTTAGGAAGGTTGAAAACCTCTGGCTTAGTTATCGAAGTAAATTCAATTTCCTTTCCAGAACAGCATAATGAAGCAGAACTTAAGGGAATTTATTCTGAGTGAGTTCCTACTAAGGTTTATTTTATGAACAAAGCCATATTTTAAAAAAGCCTCTAAAGTTATGCAAAAACAAACAACAAACAATGAAAACATGTAACATGAAAGAACAAAACTAGGCTATCTTTCAATAGTTCATTTTGTTAAGATTGCTCCAAGTTATAGACCCTATTCTGCGATATACAGAATTGAAATGTTGTACTTAGTAAAAGTTTGCTCCTTTTTTGAGATTATGAAAAGACCCAATATTTCCTGTGCATCAAAAATTTCTGCTGTTGTTCACTGCACTTAAGTGCAAAATATCTGAAGTGCACAATGCTTCAGGATTTGTTTAGCATCCTTTGATTTAATTTTGTTCTTCTCCATCACTTCCTGTACCACAAGATGGAAATAAGATCAAATGTTTCCCTTAAGTTTTTCCGCCCTCTAATTATTTCTCAAATATTTAGAATTGCTTTTATTAGTAAGCACTTGGGATATACTACAGAAAATGAAAGTTATTTTCCCCCACCTCCCGAAAACAAACAAGTGGTCTACATTTTATTTCAGAAAATGATATGTGCGTTTATTTATTACACGAAGGATGCCTCCAGGATAAATGTGTTGAGTGGTGAAATGTGAAATCCATTTGTTTGCCCTTTATGAAATCATGTTTGGATTTATTTTTAAAGTGTTCTTTAATTACTAGTCATGAGCCATGAATGCTTTAGGAAGGAAAAGGTCTGATTATTCTTCCGGCTTAAAAGAAAAAATGTCCTGGAAGATGAAGAATAAATCAAGTAGGCTACCCCAGGACAGGCAATTACTACTGCAAAGTGCTAAGTAAAGTCAAGCACAGCATAACTAGTGTCTTTGCCACAGAACCTAGTGTTCTTTTGCATTGGTTTTATATAGTTAGGTGAGAAAGCTATTCCTTCCCCCTCTCTAATATGTACAGAGAACATACTAGTATCTAGTAGGTGAGAAAAACATTTAACATCTTTACATGGTCACTTGATGGACTCAAGTTCAATTAATATTTTTTTGCAAATTAAACATTGTTAACCTTTAAAAGGGGAGTTTATTTAATGCACTGCAACTTTTAAAGCTCACAGGAATGCTACTATTTAGAACACTGGTTGTTTGTTCCCTTTTGAGTGCTTGTCTGATGAGTTGCAAAGGTTTTCCAGAGAGCTGGGAACAGACATTAACATCAGCTTCCAAGTCCCTCTTGACTCTTGAGTGTTGCATACAAAGAATTAGGTATCCCTGGATCCCATTCACAGTCTTGCTTTACTTCACCATCAATTGGGAGGGGATCATGTGAGATGCTGTCAACACTAGCATGACCAATATATCATTGTGGAATAGGCTTATGACCTTGGTAAACTTTTCTTGGCAGTGCAACATTCTCAAATATCTGCCAGATTGCAGGTCTACCAACAGTGCCAAATATTTTCATTATGTCACACAGAACACTCGGGAGAAGTTCTTTGTATTGGGCGACAAAACTCCCATTTGGAGTCACACACAGAATGTGAGACCTATTAGAGGCCTAAGAAATGGTCTGTTCCGAACATTTCATTTTAATGAGGAAGTGGAGGTCCCTTTGGGGAGTCAGTTGCCCAAAGTCATGGAACAAGTCAGTTCTTTGGGCTTCATTTTCTTCAGTCATGAGTTTTCCACTCTGTAAAAAGTCATTCAGTTTTGTCAAGTGGAAAGAGACAAAAGAAATGATGAACAAGTGTAAGGGCCAAGCAGTGAGACATAACCTATCATTTTACTTCCTAAGAACACACCTTTAAAAGCCCATTGTTCTTTTTTTTAATGTTTTTTCCATTTTTATAAAATAGAAACAAGATTGTTTCACATGTCAATCCCAGTTCCCTCTTCCTCCTCTCCTGCCTTGGCCCCCACTAACACCCTACCTATCCCATACCCTTTCTGTTCTCCAGGAAGGATGAGGCCTTCCATGGGGTGTCTTCAGAGTCTGTCATAGCCTTTGGGATAGGGCCTAAGCCCTCCCCTGTGTGTCTAGGCTGAGGGAGTATCCCTCTATGTGCAATGGGCTCCAAAAGTCCATTCCTATGCTAGGGATAAGTACTGATCTGCTATAAGAGCCCCATAGATTTCTGAGGCCTCTTCACTGACACCCAAGTTCATGGGGTCTAGATCAGTCCCATGCTGGTTTCCCAGCTGTCAGTCTGGGGACCAAGAGCTCCCCCTTGTTCAGGTCAGCTATTTTTGTGGGTTTTACCAGCCTGGTCTTGACCCCTTTGCTCATCACTTCTTCTCTGCAACTGGATTCCAGTTCAGTTCAGTGTTTAGCTGTGGGTATCTACTTCTACTTCCATCTGGATGAAAGCTCTAGGATGGCATATAAGCTAGTCATCAATCTCATTATCAGGGGAGGGCATTTAAGGTAGCGCTCCTCTGTTCTTAGATTGTTAGATGGTATCATCCTTGTAGAACTCCAGACATTTCCCTAGTACTTGATTTCTTTTTAAACCTATAATAAACCATTGTCCTTTAGCATTTGTATAACTTTGGTTAAGATTACTGTCACTGTTGATTGCTTTTGTCTGTTTCAGGACTGCATGTAAATGAAATCACATTATTTAATCTTTTATGTCTGGCTTTTGCCTTAACAAAATGTATTTGAAATTCCTTGTGTTGATGCTGTTTGTAGTTGGTTCACTATCATCACCATGTCATATTTCTACCACAATTGATAACCATTTGTATTATGAACTCTTGTTCAGAGTTTTTAATTGCATATGCATGTTTCTTTTAAGAATGTTGTAGCAATAGAAAAGATGCCACAATGCATTGCTATTTAACCTTCCTATATATTGTCATTCAATATTCCATAATGAGAATTTCGATGAGTCTCTTTTTGTTCAAACTTGGCACTAGTCTTAGTTTTAAATATTCTCATAGGTATGTAGCAAGAGCTCATTGAAGTTTTAGCTTGCATTTCTTTCATATGTAATGATGTTGAAATCTTTTTCTATTTTTGTATATTCATATGGTACATATATGTGGCACATGTGTGTATTTTTGCTTGTGTGCATATGTACAAGTGTTCTTTTCTCTGACTTTTTTTTTACTTGTTGTGTCTTAGGGATGCATACTTGTGTGTATTGGTGCATGGATCATGTGTGTATTTATTCATGTGTGTGGGTGTCAGAAATCAATATCAATAGTTATTACACAGGAACTGTGGAGACAGGGACTCTCACTGGCACCTTCAATGTTTATGATTAGACTAGGATGGATGGCCAAGGGGTCTCAGATGTCTACAGGGTTTGCTTATCCAGCACTGGTATGGCAACACACTAGCAACACACTAGGACTTTTATATGGGTGCTGGGGATCAAACCAAGTCCTCTTGTTTGCATGGCAAGCACTTTACTAACTGACTTAATTTTATTTTATTTTATATCTCTTACTTTATATTTTAAGGCAGGCTCTCAGTCAATTGTTGAGGAAAGCTTTGAAATTGATCAGTAGTCCAGGCAGACTTTAAATTTATGATCCTTATGAGTAACTGAGACTATCAGCTTGTGCCTACTATGTGGTGCTAGTATTAAGTATTATTTTAATAACTAGACTTGGTGTTTCTCATTTGACTTTTGTAATTGTGTACTTAACCTATTAGCAATGAGCAAAATGACTTGCTTTTCACATCTGTGAGAAAAATCTTGTATTACTTTGTGTGTTTCTCTGTCTCCATCTCTTTTCTTATGTTGTTTTAATATAGTTCTATTGAGCCTATAATATTAAAATAAAATTAGATTATTGTTCTCTATCCATAGAGTTGGAACCAAAATTTATTCTACTTAAAATTTCTCATGACTTTGTAGAAGCCTGTAACATCTAAAATAAATTCTTTTGTCCTCTAAACTGTTCTCTGACCACAATGGGTATCTACATTCAT